CATGCTGTGTGCGTGACAGCGATTAAAAAATAAATAAAAGAACAAAAAAAAGAAAAAGAACGGCTCTCAACTGCGACTCGGTTCCCATCGTTCATGTTAAAGAGCCATTCAATAGATTCGGTTTGTTCGTGAACGTCACAACTCTAATTGGACTCATTGTACTCAGACATGATTTCCACCCGAAGGGACAAACTCTCCACTCTTTGTCACAAAGCATTGAAAGTATGTAGCATGGAGGCTGCAAATGTGTGTAAATCCAAACATAGCTCCCACTATAACTTACATAGCCAGACTCTCCCTTACATACTGTAACTATTCTGCACCATACAAATTTTACACCTTCCCTGAGCAGGTATAAGATTATTATTATCATTATTATTATTACTTATTAACTGTCAAATACTGCAGTTTTTGCCACTGGCCCTATGCTTCAATCTGGGATGCTGTAGATACCCATTTAGTGTCATTTCTGGACATGCTCATCTGACATAATGTTTTGAAGTACTGTTGAAAATAAAGAGCAAGACAATCTGCATGTTGAGAAGGTTGGGGTGGATGTATGGGTGGGACAAAAAACACATAACTTTCACCCAGGACATGGCTGTTAGCATCCCGCGTGGAACCAAACGTCAGCATTACGATACGTTCCGTTACAATGCATTCCATTAATTGGTCCATGCCCTCTAGTAAAACGTGTAAGCGTTTTCTTATCCACAGGGTGTCTTTGCCGTTTCAAAAATGAAACTGTTTTCTGATTTTACACTGTGTGATGGCCGTCCTAGCAACCACACACTAAGGCAAAAGCATACAGTCGTAACTCTTTCATTTGTTTGATTATCTTTAGGTTTAGTTGTATTTAGGTTTAGAATATTAGACACAATTCACAATAACTAACTGGACACAGATTTGGGATTCATACAGTTTTATTATCCATTTTTGACAGCCGTTATCTTTTTTGGGTACACACAATTAGTTAACTTTCTTTGTCAATTTTGGGAAGTATTATTAGGTTCATTTATTTAGGTTATTTTTCATTGTATTAAATTCAGTTGTCTTTGAGTTACCAGTTCCTGGGTG